TAACATAACCTTCAAATTAACCACGAGCAAAAACTAGTACTAATATAAACATGTTCAAATTATAAATAGAAAAAAATGATTAGTTAAAAAATAAATAATACTGATAGTGTCGCGAAATATATATAAGGGTCTGTTTGTTTTTTATTCTCAAATTCTGCAGTAAATCAATTATCATTTTCAACCACACATTCTTCAATAAAATAATATTTTTCATGACATCAATAATTTTTTCTTCTTTTTCAACCACACATTTCCCATCATATCACTATTCAAAAATCAATTCTTCTCCAAAAATTCTCTACCAAACACACTCTAAATATTTGACTGTACATTAACTTTTGTCATAGAGGTTATATTCTAAAACATCCATCTAGACGGTAAAAACGGTGGTCAACTCTACTTTGATCACCCTGCCTGAGGCATGCCTATGAAAAGGCCTGTCTATTTTTGTTTGACAATTAATTAATTAAAGTTTTATTTTATTTATTTATTTTATTTTTTGAAGTCCAACCTAATAAAAATGCTCAACTATTGCTAAAATTTTAAAAAGAAATAAGTGCAACAAAACATTTCATTCTAGTCTAAATCAAATGCACAAACATAGTTCCTATTTGGTACACATTAAAATTTTCATTCTCAATTTTCTACTCATTTTCAACAAAACATTCTATTTTCCCTCACTTCAATAACGTTTCCTTCCTTTTCAACCACAAATTCTCCATCAATTTACTATTTCAGAATACATTCTTCCAAAATAATATGGATCAAACATAGTTTTGAAATTATGTTTTTACTAGAAATTTGAAAAATATGTATAAAATTCCTATAAATTTTGAAAATATGCTTATTTTATTTGTTTATAGTTTAGAATAATATTAAAAATAGGAAAATGAATTATCACGTTCTAGACTTCGCCTAAACATGCTTAGGCATATAAAACTTGAGACTTGATCCCACGCTTAATAAAGCCTTATTTATTTTAGAATTGATACAACAAGTTTCAAGTGCAACTTCTTCATACATGTTCTTTTTCATTTCTTTCTTCTTTCTTTCTCTTCTTCGTCTCCTCATTTTTTTTCCTTCTTTTTATTTTTGACACACATGAATCTAGAACCCACTCCACTCCACTCCACCCCACCCCACTGCAATCCCCCTAGCCAAGATCGAGCCGGCTGAATGGAGGGCCAAGCCCAAATTTTAGTGTAGAAACATCATATTCTTTTTCTCGTAAACGTGTTAACTTTTTAAATGAAGTTATCCAACAAGTTGTTAACCAAATTTCCAACAAATGGTCAATCTCAATTACTCGCAAATATTGAACTTTCTCATTTAAATGTTTAGAAAGACAATAAATTTATTTATTTTTCAATACACTGAGCTCATGTATTTGGTTGCATCCGGTTCGAAATTATTTACTTTATTAATACTCTGATAATTTTTTTTTTCTGAAACTCTAAATTACTTTTCTACTTTTAAATAAATTTATAAGAAGGTTTTATAAACTTAGCCAAACATTTGTTCTTTTTAGGGGGGCATTGGAATATGCTAACAAAAAAAAATTCACGATTGGTGAGTCAGGTGGCATATTGTCATTGAACAGTTAATTTTTTTTAACATGTTTATCTAAAATCAAAAAAAAATTATTTAAAATATGTTTGGCAAACTGTAGGTTAATGTAGTATCTATTAGCAAATTCATTCTTCCATTTTAAGAGTTTTTTTTTTTTTTTTGGCTGGCTATTGACCCACACCTGGTAAAGTGACATAAACAAAATCGACCAAATCAAATCCACATCTACGATAATGATAGAGGTAAACACGTGACATGCTTTGTCAAAATTAAGATCGACCAAGATTGTCGATTTCACGTACAATAGATCAAACGCACTCTATTGAAACATTGATTTGATGATACCGATATTTAGCTGGGCATGTTTATATATATATACTCATTAACCGTCAAGTGTTCAACAGACTTGCAATTTAATTAACAAATAAAAGAGATGCAAAACCTTGTGCTTCGATATGATAAGAGAAAACACTAGGAAAGTACTTTTAAGTCATTTAGAAGACACAATTTCAAATCTTGGTATTATAAAGGCAAAGACATCGAGTCATTTAATCCTTCACTATATGTACAAAAGTAGTTGGAGAAGCAATCTGTTCATAATTAAACTCTAAGCATTGGAATTTCTTGAGTCATTGTGTCCTACTTCACCTCCAACTAGTCGATCGATCTAACTATTTTACTATTTTACGAGTTTTTGATCGATCCACATTCAAAGTTTACTATCACGCACGATTTTGGTATACAACCTAGAAGGCTTTTGGTGACATGAATCTAAAACGACAAGAGAATTATATTATAAATTTACAATTGCAGATCCCAAATATATTAACCATGTCGTATCTAAAACCGGGGGGGGGGGGGGGGGGGG